ACTACTCGTCCAACTGGATCATGATTCCTTGCCCGCAAGAATTCCATGCAGCCACTGTAATATGCGAATACCCAGGATACGCCAGGGAAAGCAGTGTGCGGCGACGGTCGTCGAAAACGACCAAAAATGGTACCTGTTCTGATTTTCAGTTTGAATGCGGAGACGGTACGTGTGTTGCTATAGATTCTAGGTGTGACGGACAAAAAGATTGCCTAGACGAAAGTGATGAAATTGTCGCCTGTCATCTACTTCATTTCGGGCGTTGTACGGACGGACATAATCTTCATTTGTCCCGATTCTGTGACAAAGTGACTGACTGCGCGGACAACTCAGACGAAGTAGGTTGTATCTATCCACCATGTAACGCACATCAATTTCACTGTGGCAGTGGAGAATGCATTCAAATGAGCGAAAGATGCGACTTAATACCCCACTGTAAAGATGGTTCAGATGAAGCACAGTGCGCAAATGCCTACAGGAAGAAATTCTATTCTTGTTTTTCTGGTACAATTATCCAGTATTCACAGATACACGATGGCGTGGTAGACTGTCTAGGGCCCGTTGAAGAAGACGAGATAGATGACTGGTTGTTACAACAAACATCGATTAAGCACTGTGGGAATCAGTACAACAGGACGTGTCACAACCACACCTGCGACAAATATTCTTATCACGAAAAATCATTTTTCCTCGGTGAGCCTTCATCCGACCAAAGATACAGTAATACCCAGGTGTTCTATAAGAACGCGTCTTGCTTCTACGAAAGAAATAAGTATGACATATTAACAACCTGTAGGACTGGGAAGCACCTTGTCCAAAACGTGTCTCGCCCCATATTTGATTTGGACATTGACAATAGATCAATTATTTCTTTTGGCCCCAGAACGTCGCCATTATGCCACGGGTTCACATGTCCCAAAGATTTATATCACCAATGCCCATCGTCGTACTGCATACCTGCCAGATCAGTTTGTGACGGGGTCAAAGACTGTCACGATGGCAGTGATGAAATAGCATGTAACAGCTACTCCTGCCCAGGTATGTACAGATGTCGGGGACAGCATAATTGCTTGCCACAGAGTCAGGTGCGGGACGGAATCCCTCAGTGTAAACTGCGAGATGATGAAGTATTCTATGGTTTTCAGTGTCCACCCGAGTGCTTTTGTGACGGGTTTTCGGTAATTTGCCCTGGATCAGTATTCAAGAGGTCACCAAATTCTGATCAGAGTAGATTAACTGAGGCGCCTCTTATTATAGGAAGAGGTATGGTAAGGAGTCTCATATTAAAAGATAATCATATATCAGAGGTCACACTGGACAACTGCACGCGACTGTTATATCTTGACTTATCAAACAACTCACTGGTGGAAGTTCATAAAACTATGTTTCAAGACACTGTCAATCTACGCAGAATTGATCTCTCAGAAAACAATATCCGCATCATCCGAAGTGGTGCATTTTCCAATATGATTTCTCTTCAAGTGCTGAACATAAGCAACAACCCAATTACTACTGTTCCGCGCCACTCTTTCCACAATCTTCCTGCTTTGCAGTATCTTGATCTGTCAGCTGGTCTACTACTTGTCCTGGACAACTGTTCGTTTTATAACGTCTCCGTTGGTGTTTTAAATATATCGAAAAACTTTGTCCAGACATTTAATGCATGGTTGTTCTGTGGTTGGCACAAAGTGAAGGCGATTGATCTGTCTGGAAACCCGTTGGAAGTTAAACAGGACGAGGCACCAAGTGATGTCGACATTTTAATTGCAGATACGTTCAGAGTCTGCTGCATGTATCCTCAATCAAATTTATGTCAGTCTCAAGTTGATTTTTTTGCGTCGTGTTCAGATATGTTTATGGATAAAGTAATTAAGTACTCGTATTTTGGTATGGCTCTTCTTTCTGTGGTGTCGTCGTTGGGATTACTAAAATCGTATTTTAGGCTTGAAGGACTGTTTCCGATGAAAGAAGTTGCTGTTGCATTGAATGTCATTGAAATGCAAACGATTATACCAGTTATGATAATATTTGTTAACAGTATGTGGATGACGGATACTTATTCCAACATATCTAATTCCTGGCGGAGGAGCCCATCGTGTCACGTTGCATCGTTTTTCTACATCTTTCCTCATGTTTGTGTTCCTTTAATAGTATTTTTTGCTGCTATACACGCGATTATATTACGGGCTGCTGGAATCGAAAAATCACATGTGTTAAAGTGCACAATGTGCGTTGGCATAATTATTGTCCTCACCGTGTCAGTAACATTTAGTGTTCTTTTGTCCATGGAGGTAGAAATCCATACTGGTACCTGTTATCCTTTCGTTTTAAGCAGTCTTATGACTGAAATACAGTATAATTCTTTAGGGCTTGAAATCACATATCTATCAATGTCTGTAATTTCTCTAACTACTTTCGAAGGAGTTTTTATGTATATGTTGGGTTCTCTGAGATCTCCGTCATCCCTAACTGATTTTCGCAGTATTTGCTGCTTTTTGGAAATTGCCTTATCCGATGCCATACGCTGGTTCCCGTTCACAGTGTCGTGTTTCTTGCATTTAAAGAACAATCCGGTGTCTGATTACGCTGCGCAGTGGGTGCAGTTAGTTATGCTTAACATGCGACCCGTCGTATGCGCCTTTATTCATATTTGTTTAGGGCCTTTGTGGAAGAAGGTTGAGCGTTTCTTTGTACAGGCAGGGGTTGGGTCAAATGGTCAACCGGCACTGGGGAGGCAAAGGGGGGGTCAAGAGATGAACAAGAGGATACGCGAATATAGAATAAATATGAACAATCCGTGTACACCAAAAAGATAAGTGTATTTTCTAAGATGCCTCGTTGTTCTTGGTGGTTTTCAATTTTATGCACCTAGTTTTAAAATCATATGGCAATTTTACGACAATCGTTTACTATCCAGTCAAGGTGACAGCCGTGCGTGGGCTCATCCTGTCGGTGTTCTGACTGATACTCCGAAATGCGATCTGACACACACCTTGAAAACGGGTAGTGTGGTCCGATATACCGTTTAATTCAGGATCCTTAGGTTCCGAGTCTGGTAGTTGGGTAGGCCTGTGCATATTACGCTGTATTGTTGCAATTGGAAAAAGAAGTAGTCATGATTCGAATATAGATACTATATACTCTATTCGTGACATTGATCTCTGTAAAAATGTGTGCTAATACGCGTTAAAACATTTTCTGTCGTTTGAAAGAACAATTTAATTGATGTATATTTTATAAATGTTTAATATAACAATTTAATTGATGTTCATTTTCTATTTTATGTAACTGTCTTTTAGAACCTTTTACATTAAAATGTAACACAAATTTTACTTGTAATTATTGTTGTTGATATTTCATGATAACTGGTCTCATTTCTTTTGATTTACTGTATTATCTGAATGTAATTATATAATTATATAATTTTATATAACTGGAAATCTGAGGCTTAGGATAGGAAACAATGGAAAAAGCATGCTGAGGCCTTTGTCCAACAGTGGAACACTATAGGCTCTAAATGATTATGATGATGAATTATATAATCAGATTTAACGTTTATGCATTTTGTAAAGTACTATTTTACTGATGGACTTTAAGATATTGACAATGTTTAAAACATTACCGCTATAATCATTTACCAGTAAACCGTCAGTGTGCATTAATTATGTGTATAAAAAGTATCTTCATCAAGTTATTGTTTTACTTAATTTTCTATTTTTACCCCCACTTTTGCAGTGACACGCGTTTGTTCAAGGCATGCAATCACCACTAAAAGTGTATTTTTCAAACGATGCATTAATGAAACAAGTATACGTACTGGCACTTGAGATATTACAAGCTATAAGCTGCTGACGCCTTATGTTAGACCTGCAGTCCACACCCACTAAACGACTCGCAAGTCATGGTCTGAGGGGATCCAGAAACTTTTTTTTTACACTTAAGCTTGGGGATGAGCGGCTTAGACAATCGCTTCATAAAGAAAAATAAATAAGAAATAAAATAGCGCCGTCACTTTTCACTTTTAGTCCAACAGTAAAATGTAAAAAATAAGAGAAAAAAATAAATGTTCTCCATTACCCACCAATCATTGGTATCGCCATCTCGAGGAATCGTAACATTGCAACGGTAAGATCATCCAACTGTTGTTGCACGGAACTAAATGCGCTGCCCGGACTATAATGATTCAGCCAATCTAATTTCTAATTTCAAGAGGGGACCACTGGTGTGATTTTTTTTTTCAGAAATCGAAGGAGAGGAGGGGGTCAGGACCCCCTGACACCCCCTAGATACGCCACGGCAGTTGTAGCTGGTAAGGCTAGGGCTGAGCTGGTTAGGGTCTACCTGCTTACTGATTGCACTCTCAATTTCCCACAATGCAGTTCGAGACCCCCCCTGAGGCACAACCGCAAAGTGAAGCATAATTTATAAGTGCTGATATTGCAATGAGGTCAAACAAAGAAAAATGTCACAGTAATATTCAACCATTTCGCTCGTAATTGAGATAGAGGTCGTAATAATGAACTATTGATCAAAATAATTTATTTAGCACAGGAACTTTTTGCAATGAAACGCTTTCTTACTACTAGCACGCCTTCTATAGAAACGGGTTTTATACAACACACTTTATGAATAAATACAAGTAAATGGATAAAACCCCTTATATTCGACACTAATCATTTGCGTTTTCACATTACCCTATTTGCAAATTTTGCTTACTCATACCCTGCGCAGAGGGTGGATTAAAGATGATATTAAGCTATCTGACCTTGCAAAGACCCTGCAAATTTACCTCTAGTATAGGATAGATATTTAAATCTTGTCGTCCCACGTACCATGAGCAGTGCATCGCAGCGTCATCTTTTTAAGGATATTGTAACCCTTCATTTTCATACGGATGCCGGAAATGAGGTTTTTCCTGCATTTAATTATTCAATAATGCATGTATCTTTGTTTTGATTTAAGAAAATAAAAACCCTCGAAAATATATAACATCGGCTTATATATTTTTTCGTTGCAATGCATAAGCAACTAAAAGCAACTCAAAGCTTTAATCGTCAATTTAACACCTTTCTATCTTGTGGTGATCGAGATAGCAATCTATATAGGGCGTAACTTCATCCTGAAAAAGAATTTATCACGAAGATTGGCAGAGTTGACCAGGAATGTTTAAGCTACAATCCTGTGGATTTAAGATGACATAAAGCTCTCTGACCTTGTCCGTTAAATCCTGCAAATTAACCTCTGGTATAGAATAGATATTTTAAACTTGTCTTCCCACGTGCCATAAGCAGTGCATCCCAGCGTCCTCTATTATTAAAATTTGCATGTGCTTCATTAGTGATCGTTTTATGAGTCATCTCTGAAGATGGTATCAATATTTTTCTACTCAAAGTTTACAATATCACAGCTTGGCTTTTTTCACCCGCAGAGCCCTCTTTCGCAATTCCTCGCGTAGAACTCTACGCAGGATTTTCCCACTTGCAGTCTTTGGAATTTCCTCAACAATCTCAACTCCGCCTCGAAGGCGCTTAATGGGGGCAGCTTTAGCTGAAATATATATTATATTGTACAAATACTATTTTAGAAGCTATATATAATACCCAACATAGACGGCTGAACAAATAAATATAAATGATTTTACAAACGCCATAGAAGTTCCACTTTTATAGAGATAGCAGCCTGTGAAACAACTTTGTAGATTATACATTACGAAATTACAAATAAACAAAACTTCCGCAATAAAAGTATTTAAGGAGAAGATGAAAAATGTTTATCAAAGTTACCTGCTAAAAAATTAGCAATCTCCGTTTCAGTGGCTCTTTGTCCCGGTTTGAGGACAATGAACGCCATGGGCAGCTCTCCGGCGTCTTCGTCAGGACGTCCAACTACCGCAGCGTCCGCTACGGCAGGGTGCGATAACAACAAGCCCTCTAGCTCTGCTGGTGCTACCTAACGGGTATAAAAGAATATAGTCACTATTTTAGTAGGTCAAATATGAGCACAGTAATTAGAAATGCTTTGATCTCATTCTCAGTATTTCTCCTTTTAACTCAGAATTTAACGAATAAATAGTCCGTTATAAGGCACAGAATTACCTGGAACCCTTTGTATTTGATAAATTCTTTGATTCTGTCGATGACGTAAATGTTTTGGTCTTCGTCATAGTGGCCGATGTCACCTTAAATATTATTATTACAAGACGATAACATGTAATTACTTTATGATAAAAACGACATAAATAGAGGGAAAGAACATTATTAAAATTAAGTAAAGAGTATTTGTCTGGTGTCATTATCTAAATGACTCGCTAGTGAGATAAAATATCGTAAAATTTAATAAACACACGAAAAATGTAGTCTGACTACCCCAAACGAAGCAACGAAAGCGGTTGCTGCAGATACCGGCGCAGACAATGAGTCCTGTGCTGAGCTACCTCTCTCAACTCTTGTTCTCAGACTTCCAAATGAAGGTGACACGCGCTTTTACCTATGAGAGTAAATACCTGTGTATTGGGCCGTAGTGTGCGCTGGGCAGATATAACACCCTCCCCCACCACGACCCTACAGAAAGTTGCTGAGGTAACTTACCGCTGTGAAACCAACCCTCCTCATCAATGGCGGCAGCCGTGGCTTCGGGGTTGTTCAGGTAGCCTTTGAAGATTTGACATCCGCGGAAGCAAAGTTCGCCATCTTGGTTTGGACCGAGTTCCTCTCCGGATTGGTAATAAATCAAATTTCTGGCGGCGCTATTGCTATTTTTAAAGTAACATTAACTTAAAACGTGGGTAGGTAGATAAAAAAGCTTTGAAAAGTTGTCTTTCTGAAAGGAAATATGATGCTGAACACAGATTTGACAACCATTTATTTTTAACAATTATCAGGTCAGTAAATTTAACAATTTTCAAAATGGCAGACAAAAAGCTCTACCAAAATTTTTCATCAACAACATTTAAAGGCACCACAGTTTGCCGTATGTCTTTTCTTATTCTGGCGGCGCTATTGCTATTTTTAAAGTAACATTAACTTAATACGTAGGTAGGTAGATAAAAAAAAGCTTTGAAAAGTTGTCTTTCTGAAAGGAAATATGATGCTGAACACAGATTTGACAACCATTTATTTTTTACAATTATCAGGTCAGTAAATTTGACAATTTTCAAAATGGCAGACAAAAAGCTCTACCAAAATTTTTCATCAACAACATTTAAAGGCACCACAGTGTGCCGTATGTCTTTTCTTATGTTTTTGGGAATGTAGCATCCATTTCTGATGTACATGTAGCTACTGCTATTGGTACATCTCAAAGGGAGTTCAGTTACTGGTAATTATAAAAGATTTAGATCGACCTTACTCCCTGGGGGTTCACGCTAAATTGCAGCCAGCCGAGCTTGCACCAAAGTTAATTACCCCCTTACAGCTTTTAGTAGGCGGGGCAGACGCTTAAGCCGGCTAATCTGACAGTAATCTAGTGAGACACCCCACAGGGATAGATCGATCTAAAATCTATGGAAATGGGGTCTAACTTGTACTGTGTGGGAGAAATGACAATGTGTACAACTTAATTGGGGAGTTGAGTGTCCCGCTGTATATATTGAAAGCCAGACCATGAGCGTTAGATCTTGATGGCACGTTCTTGTTTTTCTAGCATTGTCAACAATTTCTCCTAGTCATCAAGGTATGCCACGCCCAGTACAGAGCCATGTATAGAATTGCGATCCATGAACTCGTGACTCAGCTGTAGACTTCTTGTTTTTGAGTACCTCGTTCTAGAAAGACATCATGGCGGTGTCTTGAGCAGTGCATCATAGCGCTATCTTTTTAATATATCTATGCTTTACTAATAAACGTCTTATGAGCCATCTCTTGTATCAATTTTAAAAATCGAAGTTTGCAATATCACAGCTTGGCTTTTTTCGGCTGTAGCGCCCTCTTTCGCAATTCTTCGCGTAGAACTCTACGCAGGATTTTCCCGCTTGCAGTCTTTGGAATTTCCTTGACTATCTCAACTCCGCCTCGAGGGCGCTTAATGGGGGCAACTTTGGCTGAAATATAAATTATATTTTACAAAAAAAAAACACGTAAGAAACTATCCAACATAGACCAACTGAACATATAAATTAAAAATCTAAATAAAGAGAGATAGCAATCTGTAATAAAACTTTGTACATTGTACATAATTTGAATAATCTGGAAAAAAAACTTCCGTAATAAAAGTACTTAAAGAGAAGAAGAAGAAAATGTTTATCAAAGTTACCTGCTAAAAAATTAGCAATCTCCGTTTCAGTGGCTGTCTGTCCCGGTTTGAGGACAATGAACGCCATGGGCAGCTCTCCGGCGTCTTCGTCAGGACATCCAACTACCGCAGCGTCCGCTACGGCAGGGTGCGATAACAACAAGCCCTCTAGCTCTGCTGGTGCTACCTAACGGGTATAAAAGAATATAGTCACTATTTTAGTAGGTCAAATATGAGCACAGTAATTAGAAATGCTTTGATCTCATTCTCAGTATTTCTCCTTTTAACTCAGAATTTAACGAATAAATAGTCCGTTATAAGGCACAGAATTACCTGGAACCCTTTGTATTTGATAAATTCTTTGATTCTGTCGATGACGTAAATGTTTTGGTCTTCGTCATAGTGGCCCATGTCACCTTAAATATTATTATTACAGGACAATAACATGTATAATAATAAGAGGTAGAAATTCACGTTGATAACTTTATTATAAAAACGTTACATAAATAGAGAGAAAGAACAAAATTAAAATTAAGTAGAGAGTGTCGTTATCTAAATAACTCGCTAATGAGATAAAATATCGTACAATTTATAAACACACGAAAAATACAGTCTGACTACCCCAAACGAAGCAACGAAAGCGGTTGCTGCAGATACCGGCGCAGACAGCGAGTCCTGTGCTGAGCTACTTCTCTCAACTCATGCTATCAGACTTCCAAATGAAGGTGACACGCGTTCTGACCTCAGAGAGTAAGCACCTGTATATAAGGCCGTCGTGTGCGCCGGGCAGATATAACACCCTATCCCATCACGACCCTACAGAATGTTGCTGAGGTAACTTACCGCTGTGAAACCACCCCTCCTCGTCAATGGCGGCAGCCGTGGCTTCGGGATTGTTCAGATAGCCTTTGAAGATTTGACATCCGCGGAAGCAAAGTTCGCCATCTTGGTTTGGACCGAGTTCCTTTCCAGATTGCGGATCTAAAACCTGAGCGAAGGGATAATTAAGTAGCGAAAAAGTGAAATTTTGTTCTTATATTTTGTACCATTTATTACAATGTTGTTTATTATTATTTAACACATGGATCATATCGCATACCACAAAGTATTGAAAGTCCTGAGTTCATAAACAAATAGGTTTTTGCACAATCATTTTTATTGTAATCCCAATGTATATTTTGTTTGCAGAAGGGAGTATGACTAGTTAAAAGTAATTTGTCTCGCTTTCCTTGACTCCCCTACTAGTAAATATGTGTAGCTACGTGTGTGTGTGTGTGTGTGTGTGTGTGAGGAGAGAGAGAGGGGGTGAGGGATAGTGAGAGAGCTTTTTCGAGCAGTAGCAGTGGACGCAAACATTCACCTTACACTCCGTGCTTGCAACCAAAACCCCAGCAGAACCGGTCCGAAACGTACGCACGTCTCGCGGAGGCATGGACCAGACCCCCTCTGTCGCTCCATACCCTGAATTTATAGATAAGTGCATTCATAGTACTTAGGTTTTTAATTAGGACACATTCCCATACCCTGAATTTATAGATAAGTGCATTCATAGTACTTAGGTTTTTAATTAGGACACATTCCCATACCCTGAATTTATAGATAAGTGCATTTATAGTACTTAGGTTTTAAATTAGGACACATTCCCATTGAAAATATTGGTCTCCATAAATCGATCCGGTGACTGTCGCTGAATGCAATCAGAATAACAGAATGACACACCTCTCGTTTCAACGTTCTCCAATGATTTTACTCGCCACAAAAAGCAGGCTTGTAAATCTGTTAAAATGATTGGGAATGGGCCCTTATATTTATCCATGCCATTTTGTTATGCAGTTGTTATTAATGGGCGAGGTTGCTTTTAGGACTCATTCCCAATGAAACTATTGTTCTCCATCTCCGTCTATGGATCCAACTCCGCGGGAACTCTCGCTGAAGCTTTAGACTATACAATAGGAACAAGCTAAGTAGCCTTTATAATGCAGTAGAAAATAGTATCAAATCGGTGAAATAACGTTACTTTAAATAGTGACTTGAGTAACCACGTGTGAGACATTCAATAATCTTTGAATAACAAAGCAGGGTATAAAACCAAGTACCTTGTACAAGTTTGCATGTCTTCAGACGCGATTCCAGTTTTTGTTTCATATCCTTGCCCAATGGCGCAGCCCCTGACATGATTACTTCAACACAGGAGAGGTCGTATTTGTCAACCAATGGGTGTTTGGCTAGCATGTCGACTATGGGAGGAACCACGGGAAGAAAGCGTATCTAGGTATAGAGCGTAATTAAATAGGTTCAGAATGCCTTCTGACCTTTTTGGTTTGCGATGGTCGACGTTAGTTCATGTCAATTGTGCAGTGCAGCCCAAATGAACAATTAAGTAGGTGTGTAAGTAGCCGGTAACAACACACATTTTTGATTATCAACATGAAAATGAGTATTCAAAATTTAAAATTTTCTTATTTGAAACCGAGGTGATAAATCTATCCGAGAGAGGTTAAGTTAACTCACTTTGTATTTTTCGATGCTGGCAAGAAATCCTTCAAAATCGAATTTCCTCATGCAAACAACTTTCTTTCGGTATTTTAAACCACCAAGGAGAATAAGTATCATCCCAAAAACGTGAAAGAAAGGCAAAAATCCAAGAAAACCGTCAACTCCCGGGCGCCCATAGGACAAGAGGTCTCTGAAAACATGTATATTGTTGCTGAAATAAGTGTGGCGGAAAATAATATATTTGAGGTAGATAGTTTTTGTGACTAAAATATCAAAGACATCTGGTATCCAAAAATTCGTATAATATACGAGGGGAAAATTTAACTATATACAAATGTATTGAAATCATCTGGAAATTCATAGTCGGTTGAACAAAATTAATGCGAGCGAGCGACCTAGCAAGTGAAAGAGAGCTACATAGAGGGAGGAACAAAAAGAGACCCAGACAATTGTAATATAACAGAAACCTAGAAAATAGTGATTGATACAATGATTTCCCCTTACTTCATTTGTAGCAGATCCCCCACTATGTTACGATGTGTATGCATGACGCCTTTCGGTAGGCCTGTCGTGCCACTAGAGAAGAGGATAACAGCGACCTCTTGCGGCGATATCTTTACGTCACTTGGGAAGGCATGGCCGTCGTCTTGAAGTAAGGCATCGACTGATGTACATCCCGGGGCGTGTCCAAATACGTAAACTTTCTTGAAAATCAAAAAAATTATTTTTGGAAAATGGATAGATGCTAACGCATATTGCTTTGAATTGAATCTTGTACGTACAGGGTATGTACCCAATGAGGGTGCATAACTGGTGGCACATCAAAAATTAAAGACACCAAGTGCCCTTTTCTCTTAACTCCTCTTTGCTCTGTAAAAATTTATCAAAAAAAAAACTAATTTCATTGGAACAGCGCCCTTAAAATAAAACAATAATAACGTCAAAAATTCATAGAAAATTTAAATTTTAACTGGCAACACTGATTGTGTACCTTAATTTCATTTTCTGAGGCAGCTTGGAGAGCTTTCCCTGCGGTTTCTGGTGTTGCCATTATATACTGTGGTCTGACAATCTGGAGTTGCTTACTTAGTTCATCTTACCATGAAAAATTTAATATGACATCTATAATATATAGATGGAACTTAGGCCACCAAAATTTTTAAGCCTCAGTGAAAGGACTGAATTTTTTTTTTAATCGCAAAAATACCATCCAGTCCTTCGTCCTTTTATGATACAGATATTAGCGTATATATTTCTACAAATCCAAAAATAATTAAAAGTATATAATAATAGTTAAACGACCTGTTTTATAGCCAAAACTAGCGTTTACTGAAAAATGTTCACACGTTTTCTCACCCTTGGTATATGAAGGGTTGGTAGTGGTGATGACCCCTCCAACCGAGAGAACCCCCAACACGATTAAACCATACTCGGGGGAGTTCGAACTGTACATGCACACGATTTCCCCCTTCTTGAACCCCAACCGCGTGAGCGCGCTGCCGATTCTGCGCACTTTGTCCTTGACGTCAGCAAACGTGAATCTCGTATCGGTCTTGGCGTCAACCTTCATGTAAAAAATGGGGGTGTTATAAGGCAAAATTAAATATGATACTATTTATTTGCAGACACAAGCATTTTACTGCAAAGGGAGGGAGGGGATAAACCAAATCATTTTGCGACATTCATCATTCTTGAAAAATAAAAAATATATATCATAAAAAACTTGGCATCAAGGTCTCATATCCCATTTTAAGCACAATTTCACTTCGGTGCGGAATTTAATTAAATATTATGCAATCTCCCTAAAAGGTTCGTACTTTTTCAATCAATAATTAACCAATGCTGATGAGGTCAAAATGCACTGCAAGTTACATGTTTATTCAACCAACTCAACGTTTTGATATAAAAGTAGCATTTCATATACCCCTTCCCTTTGCTGGAGAGAATATTACTTGCAGCTGTACGTGTTCACAACAGAAACATAAAAAACCCTTAACCTCACATTTTGCTCAGATTTGTCGGCTAGCATGCACCATTCGTTCCACTCCCCAAATGCGGTTAATTACTAGGGCTCGTATTAGGTGAAATGGAAGATCCATTGACAACACTTTTTTAAGTAGTAGTAGTAACCTGTAAATATCTTAGCTATTGCAATAGCTACTGTAACACTTTACAACGGCGTCTGTTAATGTCTGACCTAAATAAGTGAAGTTTTTATAAGCTGACGTAAACCATATATAAACACAATTGTGTACTTCATACTATAAAATAATGCAGCACATTTAGGGCAAATATTTCTTGTCCTATTACCCAAGTTGCTTAATGGATATTTTGAGAGAGAGAAAGAGAGAGAGATTACCAAGGCCACGCAGTCTGCATACAGATCTATATCATCCAGTAAATATGTCGCCACATCCACCTCGGGTACCGTGATTTCAGGCAGCCTGCTACGAATTCCCATCGTCTCTTCAGCTCACAATACAAAAACAGCTTACAAAACGTCTTCACAATAGTATTTCAACAGTTCAGGACCAGTATGTGTCTCGTCTGCTATCGCGACATCTATTTTACAAACAAACCAACTTTATACAACTTACACGATTTGGTAATTTGGTAATAAATCAAATTTCTGGCGGCGCAATTGCTATTTTTAAAGTAACATTAATTTAATACGTGGGTAGGTAAATAAAATAATCTTTGAAAAGGTGTCTTTCTGAGAGGAAATTTGATGCTGGACACAGATTTGACAACCATTTATTTTTACAATTATCAGGTCGGTAAATTTGACAATTTTCAAAATGGCAGACAAAAGGGTCCACCAAAAGTGTCATCAAACACATTTAAAGGCACTACAGTGTGCCGTATGTCTTTTCTTATGTTTTAGGGTCGCCATTTCTGATGTACATGTAGCTACTGCTATTGGTACATTTCAGAGGGAGTTCAGTTACTGGTAATTATGTAACGTGTGTAACAAGAGTTTAGTTAAATTGAAAGTGCTGAACAACTGAATCAATATCAAAAGCCATTTGTCCTACAGCGGTGTTCAACAGGCATATCTCTCCACACCCAGCTCTTGGACAAATCTATCGTGATGCTAGTATCGTCCACTCTAATTTATATGGGAGAAATGACAATGCGTACAACTTAATAGGGGAGTTGAGTGACCCGCTGTACATATTAAAAAACAGACCATGAGCATTAGAGCTTGATAAGGAAAATTTTAATTTTCCTAGAATTGGCAACATTTACTCCTAGTCGCCAAGGCGTGTCACGCACAATACAAAACCATGTACAGAATTGTGATCCACTCGTGACTCGGTTCTAGGTTTCTTGTTTTTGAGTCACACGTTACAGGAAAAGAGAAAGTGACGTTGCTGTGAGCAGTGCATCGTCATATGTCCATGCTTTATTAATAATCGTTTTATGAGCCATCTCTGAAGATTGTATCAATTAAAAAAACAAAGTTTACAATATCATAGCTTGGATTTTTTCAGCTGCAACGCCCTCTTTCGCAATTCTTCACTTAGAACTCTACGCAGAATTTTCCCGCTTGCAGTCTTTGGAATTTCCTGGGCAATCTCAACTCCACCTCGAAGGCGCTTTATCGGGGCAACTTTGGCTGAAATATATATAATATTTTACAAATACCATATTAGACGCCATATACAGACTTGACATTTAATATGGAATATTTCAGTTTCGAAGGTATGCCTAGGTAAAAATTCGTTCTTTTTTCAAAACACTCCTATCTCTTATAGGATTTGTGAATGGAGAAGTGTGTAGTCAGGTGTATCGCTACCAATTAACTGACTTCCATGTCTGTTGCACTGATACTTTATGTAAAATGCGGTGATTTAATTGGGTAGTGTTCCTTTGGGCTGGTCAATGCTTGGCTTAGGCAAATCTTGGTTCTGTCAAAAAAGTATCCGTATGTCGGCAACTATTCCAAAGAAGAATTTGAAATTTTGCATGCAAGCGGTCAGTTTTGCAGTGCGTAAAATGAGCTAATGAGTGCTTTATAAATTTGTAAATTTGTGGCAGAATGGCGCGAAAAAGACACACATTACCAGACAGATTACAGCGCCAAACGGAACGGTCCGCACAGTTTTATAGAGTAATGCCCAGACTGATGTAACTACACAGAGGTCACACCCAATGCATCGAAATCTTATCTCCAGGGTACAGGACGCACTGTCTTTCGGGATACGCTGCTGCAACTAAACAAAAGCCACCCAGTCTGTTCAGAACGAGGGGTAAATTGCCACCAAAATGCGTTTTTCAAGGCCCTTAACGAGCACCAAACTGGTTTTAGCAGGTTAGAATACCAGATGACCTGCGAGGTACCCACTGTAAACAGCAAAACATCGTCGTCTGTTTCCCTAATGAATTGGGGGCCATGACCGTTTCTGGGTTGAACACTGAAACCGCGTGGCTTTCTTTATTGAGGTCAGATTTCACCTGTACCTCCCAGCTAGTCAAAACAGAGTTTACAGACATCCAGAAGAGGCCTACGACGAAGCATGTACCGCGTGTAAAGTGACACGGGTCATTGACAGCGTCAGTATTTGGAGTGGATACCACATTGGTGCCAAAACACCAATGGTAGTCATTGACGAAAACCTGAACCAGATCAAATAAAGGAATAATCTGGGAACCACTTGACTATCATTTGATAAGGGGCACCTTAGGAACAATTTTAGGTTGCACGGTCAGATTGCCAGTTCACACAGAGCACTTTTAATAGCAGATAACTTACAGAACCAAGGGAATGAGCAGCTACCCTGGTCATCAAAATCGCCACATTTGAACCGCATAGACAATATGTGGGTAAGCCATTACTCGCCGAATCAACTGCTTACATGCCCTACATCAAAACTGGACCAAATTGGACAATTTTGGACCGATGCCTGGAATAATATTCCAGATTGAACTCTAAAAACTTTTCCCAAGGAATGCCTTGCCGCTTGAGAGCGCTGGTAACAGACAGAAGAGGCCAGGCGTAACAGCAACCGTTACTATGACTACACACTGACATGAGGGTCCATTGTGTAGCGTATAACTCTTTTACAGACGATAATTTTGAAAACATAGAGATCCAAAATATCTCTTTTAATGGATGTCGTATGACATAGAATAGGCAATGTATTTCTGTTTGCCTCACTGTCGAATTCAACCAATGAGCTGGTGTCAGCATGACATCAAAGAGATAATTTAAAGTTATTAAAACACGATTTTAATCCTTATCTTCATTTATCAGTCAGCAAAATAGCAAAAAACTGATGAAAAATGACTTGGAAAAAAATATTCCATATTAAATGTCAAGTCTGTATAATGCCAAACATAGACGGTTCAACACATAAATGAAAAAAAAACTATAGATGTTTTAACAAAAGCCAAAGAAGTTCCACTTTTATAGAGATAACAATCTGTGTAACAACTTTATAGATGATACATTACAAAATTACAAAAAAAAAAAACATAACTTTCGTTATGAAAGTAACTAATGAGAAGAAGAAAATGTTTATCAGAGTTACCTGCTAAAAAATTAGCAATCTCCGTTTCAGTGGCTGTCTGTCCCGGTTTTAGGACTATGAACGCCATGGGCAGCTCTCCGGCGTCTTCGTCAGGACGTCCAACTACCGCAACGTCTGCTACGGCATGGTGCGTTAACAACAAGCCCTCTAGCTCTGCTGGTGCCACCTGACGGGTATAAAAGAATGTAGTCACAATTTTAGTAGGTTAAATATGAGCACGGTAATAGGAAATGCACTTGATCTCGTCTTGAGTAGTTTCTAATTATAACTTCACATTTTACAATTGAATAACCCTTCATTGGGTGCAAAATTACCTGGAACCCTTTGTACTTGATAAATTCTTTGATTCTGTCGATGACGTAAATGTTCTGGTCTTCGTCATAGTGGCCGATGTCACCTAAAATATTATTATCATGGGGCGATAACATGTAAAATAATAAGAGGAAGAAAATTAGATCATATACATTTATTATAAAAACTATATAAATACAGATTGCTTGCTGAAAATTAATGTCTAGTATTGAAAAACAAAATGGTAACTTTTCTAGAGTACTTGTCTGACGTTTTTTTCTAAATAACTCTCTTGTGAGATAACATATCGTAAAATCTATATACACATGAAAAAATGCAATCCGACTACCCCAACGAGGCAACAAAAGCGGTTGCTGCAGATACCGGCGCAGACGGCAAGTCAAGTGCTGAGCTACCTCCCTCAACTCATGCTCTCATATTTCCAAATGAATATGACACGCGTTCTGACCTGACTTCTCTGGGAGTAAATACGAGTGTTTTGGGCTGTAGTGTGCGTCGGGCAGATAAACAATGTAACACCCTCCCCCATTACGGCCCTACAGAGAGTTGTTGAGGTAACATACCGCTGTGAAACCACCCCTCCTTATCAATGGCAGCAGCCGTGGCTTCGGGATTGTTTAGGTAGCCTTTGAAGATTTGACATCCGCGGAAGCAAAGTTCGCCATCTTGGTTTGGACCCAGTTCCCTTCCGGATTGCGGGTCTAAAACCTGAGGGAAAAATTACTTGTCAAAAGAGAAGTGTAATTATTAACTTTTCTTAATATTTGCTATAATTTTTTTTACAAAAAGATCAATTAAATGCAGTGCAGTAATCATCTGCACAAACATTTCACCAATAAAAATGTATTTTGTTCGCAAGGGGGGGTGGTAGGAGTAGTTAAAAGCTTTTTGTTCCGTATTCCGTGTTCCTCCTCAGTGAACCGCCTTACTAGTAACTTCTTTTTTTGCGTGTGTGTGTAAGAGAGAGAGAGAGAGAGAGAGAGAGAGAGATTCACCTTACACTCTGTGCTTGCAACCAAAACGCCGACAGAACCGGACCGAAACGTTCGCACGTCTGATTGAGGCAAGGAACACGCCGGGCTGGCTTCTGTGGCACCATACCCTAAATTTATAAGTACATTCCTAGTACATATTAGGATGTATGTAAGTAAGTTACACATACACAGCATACATGTTCATGTACCTCGTTGATTCACTCAAACCATTGTATTTTGCAGTTGCATATGCGCTTGTTTGCTTGTACTGTGATATACACGTCCCTACTTGTCCTATCATAATAATATATTATCGAAGACATTCCGTGAGTTAGAGTAAAATTCCAGTAAAATGTCATTCACGCCAGTACTATTTATACGTGTACCTTTAATTTCATGTGGCAAAAATAGAAAAGCACTCAGAAAGCCCATGCTTCAAGCAATGCAGCGCAATTCTCGTTATAAGTTGACGAATGACAAATTTAATCGATTCTAAGTTAGCCCAAAATTTATAAAAATTCGTCAATAGCTTCTTAAGTTACACAGTTCACTAACGAAGCAGCAAAGGCAAAAACATAAGCTCCTTGGCGGAGGTAAAATAGACTTCTAGGCTATTGCTAGTTTGTATGATACCGTGCAGAATAGCATCAAATCGATGAAATAACGGTGCGTTTCAACAGTGAACTACACAAGAACATGTGAGAGTTAAAAAACAGTAATATTTAATAGTTTTGAATAATAAATGTAAAAATGGTACAAAACACAATACCTTGTACAACTTTGCATGTCTTCAGACGCGATTCCAGTTTCTGTTCAATATCCTTGCCCAATGGCGCAGCCCCTGACATAATTACTTCGACACAGGAGAGGTCGTATTTGTCAACCAATGGGTGTTTAGTTAGCATCACAGCTATGGGAGGAACCACTAGCAGGTAGCGGATCTAGGTATACAGAGTATAACTGAATAGATGGTTGACGTTATTCCCTGGCATTTTGGGGTCGCAGCCCGAATGAGTGTGAGCAGCGTTGGTAACGACACACATTTTTGATAATCAATGTGAAAATAATTATTTAAGAATTAAATTTTTCTGTTTCCAAACGGAATTGATAAATCTACAGGAGAGAGAGAAAGAGAGAGGGAGGTGAGGCAAAGTTACCTTGTATTTTTCGATGCAAGCAAGAAATGTTTCAAAATCGAATTTCTGCATGCAAACAACTTTTTGTCGGGTTTTTAAACCACCGAAGAGAATAAGTATCAGCCCAAAGACGTGAAAGAAAGGCACGAATCCTAGAAAACCGTCGACTCCCGGGCGTCCATAGGACAAGAAATCTCTGAAAACATATAATGTGTCATAAATATATGTGGCGGTAAAGAATATATGTACGTGTGGGATGTACAATTTTTGTAAGTAAAAATACCAAAGACAGCTTGGGATGTACAATTTTGGTAAGTTAAAGTGCCAAATACAGCATGTATTCCAAAATTACTCTACAATAATAGGAAAGAAAAGAAAAATACAAAGGTCCTCAGAAGCATTTGAAAATTTATGGATGGCTGAAAATTTTGAATGCCAGCGAGAGAGCGAGCAAGCACAGAAAGCTAGAATGAGGAAGAGAGAAAAATAGACCCTTACAATTGTAACATTGCATTTACCTAGAATACAAACATTGACAATCTAATCGCCTTTTAATTGCCCCTTACTTCATTTGTACAAGATTCCCCACTATGTTACGATGGGTGAGCATGACGCCTTTAGGTAGGCCTGTCGTGCCACTGGAAAAGAGGATGATAGCGACCTCTTGCGATGAGATATTTACGCCATTGGGAAAGGCATGGCCGTCGTCTCGAAGCAAGTCGTCGACTGTCTTACATCCGGGGGCGTTTCCGAATACGTAAACATTCTTGAAAGTAAGTTATGTATTTGTCTTGAAATAGTTATTTACAAACATTAATTGCTTATAATAATCTAATTTTCGGTAGCCCACTAAACTTTGAAGGAAAGCCAAAATTTCACAAAAAAAATTAAAAATTAAAAATAGAAAACATTTATGTTTGTATGTACCTTAATTCCATTTTCTGAAGCAGCTTGCAGTGCTTTCTCTGCGGTTTCTGATGCAGCCATTAAATACTGTGGTCTGACAATCTGGAGTTGCTTACTTAGTTCATCTTACCATGAAAAATTAAAAATGACATCCATAATTTAGAGATACTTGGGCCGCCAAATTTTTGCGACATAATGAAAAGAACAGAAAACGTATAAAAAGACCAAAAACGCAAAACCCTCATCCAGGCGTAAGTCATTTTTTAAAATACAGATATATAAATTTTCACCAGTGTAAATTCACTAATTACACGGAATTAATGGTAATATTTGAACGGCTTATAGTTATTATTTTTATTTATTTATTTATTTATTTTGCCTTAAGTGGTGTTAAATTAAAAATATTCACATCATTATTCATCATATATATCACATATATTCATCGTCTCACCCTTGGTGTATGTAGGGTTGCTAGTGGTGATGACCCCTCCGACCGAGAGAACCCCCAACACGATTAAACCATACTCGGGGGAGTTCGAACTGTACATGCACACGATGTCCCCCTTCTTGAACCCCAACCGCGTGAGCGCGCTGCCGATTCTGCGCACCTTGTCCTTGACGTCAGCAAACGTGAATCTCGTATCGGTCTTGGCGTCAACCTTCACGTAGAGAATGAGGATGTTATAAAGTAAAGTAAAATATGGTGTTTTTCATTTGTAGAGAACAGCGTTTGACTGCAAAGCGAAGGAGAGATCAAAACCTCTTCATCATTCCTGCAAAACAAAAAGATAGAAAGAAAATGGATCCACCTGCTAGATAAATAACATTTTGAGTAGGCCTTAAAGCGATTAAGGCGCGGAATTAAAATAAATGTTATGTACTATCGCTACAAATGCGCAGCTTTCCTGATGTGCAGAAGTCCTGAAGTGTGCTGACATGGAAATAGGGTCAACATAAAATGCAGTACTAGTTAAACTCAACCAGCTCAGCGTTTTGATATAAAGGTGGCGTTTGTCATCCATTTCATTTTGCTGGAGAGAATATTAATGGCAATCTGTACATGTTCACGACAGAAACATTAAAAACCCTTGACCTCATTTTCCGCTCAGATTCGTCGCCTAAAACTCACAATTCAAGCGATTCGTTCCACTTCATGAACTCGGTACTAGTAATCGCTTACCGGGGCTTGTATGAGGTGAAATGAATAAAGATGAACATGTGCCCCTAGCTTTCGAAACCCCTGGCAATATAAGCAACAGTGCATAAACATGCACAAACGTGACTACATCATCTTAACTCCAAACGCATTCACTTTCTCTCGCGTCACACACGCTTGGACGTTGGACAGATTGTACTACTAGTACATGAAGCTAAAGATACATAAATATCTAAGTCATTGGGATAGGTAGGCTACTGTTATGCCGCCTGTAAAGTAATGCATGACCTAAATAAGTGAAGTTTTTTTATTATCTGACCTAAAAAATGTAAACACAATTGTGTACCTGATATTATTAAATAACACAGCACATTTAGAGCACCTATTCCTTCTGGTATTACCCAAATTACCTATCTAATGGATATTTTGGAGAGAGAGAGAGGGAGAGAGAGAGATATTACCAGGGCCACGCAGTCTGCATACAGATCTATATCATCCAGTAAATAGGTGGCCACATCCACCTCCGGTACCGTGATTTCAGGCAGTCTGCTACGGATTCCCATCGTCTCTTCTCCAGTTCACAATAATACCAACACAGCTTACGAGACGTCTTCACAATGAATCCTTCACAATGACACTTGATAAATTCCGGACTAACATGTATAAATGTTCGTCTGTATTCGCGACCAGTATTAATCAAACGAACCAACTTTATACACGATTCGGTGTCATATATCTGGTGACCCTATGGCTATTTTTAAAGTAACATAACTTAACATCGGGAAACAACCATGAACAAGGGCTGACATAATGACGGGTTTACCTCACTGTATGTAGGGTTGCTAGTGGTGATGATTCCTCCGACCGAGAGAACCCCCACCACGATTAAAGCATACTCGGGGGAGTTCGAACTGTACATGCACACGATGTCCCCTTTCTTGAACCCCAACCGCGTGAACGCGCTGCCGATTCTGCGCACTTTGTCCTTGAAGTCAGCAAACGTAAATCTCGTTTCATTCTTGGCGTCAACCTATATGTAGAGTATGACGGTGTTTAAGGCAAGACAAAATATGACACTATTCATTTGCAGAGAAAAGTATTTGACAACAAAGCGAGGGAGGGGATAAACCAAATCGTTTTTCGACATTCGTCATTCTTGAAAAATGAAAAAAGAAAATAAACTTAGCATCAAGGTCTAATAGCCTACCCCATTTTAAGTTCAATTTCACTGAAATATTATGAAATTTCCCTTAAAGGTTTGTACTATTCCAATCAACTGAATACCAATGTTAATGAGGTCAACATAAAGAAATGCACTACTGGTAATATGCAACCACCCCACCATTTTGATATAAAGGTAGATTCATATCAAATCACTGTATAGATCTTTAAGAAGTAAATAAGTTATAATACTTAGGCTACTAATATTTTAAATCCCTGAAGAAGGCCTAGGGACCGAATGCTCGGATTACAAATTACATCTTCATAGTAGATCTTCATAGTTGCATCAGTGTTATAACTTATTTACTAATTTAAAGATAGCATTTAATACCCATTTGCTGGAGAGAATATTAATTGCAGCTGTACATGTTCACAACAGAAACATAAAAAACCTTAACCTCACACTTAAATTTGCTCAGATTTGTGGTCTGCATACAGATATAACTCATCCAGTATAGTAAATATGTGGCCACATCCACCTCGGGTACCGTGATTTCAGGCAGTCTGCTACGAATTCCCATCGTCTCTTCAGTTCACAATACAAACACAGCTTATAAGACGTCCTCACAACAGTATTCCAAAAGCTCAGGAGTAAGATTCCAGTGCGTGTGTCGTCTGTAATCGCGACTTCTATTCTTCAAACGAACCAACTTTATACAACTTACATGATTTGGTAATTTGGTAATAAATCAATTTTTTTTGACGGCCCAATTGCTATTTTTAAAGTACCACTATCTTAATACGTGGGTAGGTAAATAAAAAATCTTTGAAAAGGTGTATTTCTAAAAGGAAATTTGATGCTGAACACAGATCTGACAACCATTTATTTTTACAATTATCAGGTCGGTAAATTTGACAATTTTCAAAATGGCAGACAAAAGGCTCTACCAAGAGTTCCATCAACAACATTTAAAGGCACTACAGTGTGCCGTATGTCTTTTCTTTTGTTTTAGGGGCTGTAGCATCCATTTCTGATGTAACTACTGCGATTGGTTCATTTCAGAGTGATTTCAGATACTGGTAATTATACGTATATAACATGTGCAACAAGAGTTCAGCTAGTTTGAAAGTAAATCACAACTGAATTGATATTATAAGCCTTTTTTCCCCAAAGCGGTGTTCAACAGGCATTTCTCTCAACGCCCAGCTGTTGGATTAATCTGCCTGTTGCTAATATTGTCCACTCTTTATACTGTATAAGGAGAATGTGTGTTCAGGTTGATAGGGGAGTTGAGTGATCCGCTCTACATATTAAAGAACAGACCATGGGCGTTAGAGCTTGATAAGGAAAATTTTAATTTTGCTGCGTTGTCAACATTTACTCCTAGTCGACAAGGCGTGCCACGCACAGTGCAGAACCACGTACAGAATTGCGATCCACTCGTGACTCGGTCCTAGATTTCTTGTTTTTAAGTCACTCGTTACAGAAAAGGAGAAAGTGGCGGTGCCGAGAGCAGTCCATGGTCATATGTCCATGCTTTATTAATAATCGTTTTATGAGTCACCTCTAAAGATTGTGACAATTAAAAAAACAAAGTTTACAATATCATAGCTAAGGTTTTTTCAGCTGCAGTGCCCTCTTTCGCAATTCTTCGCGTAGAACTCTACGCAGGATTTTCCCGCTTGCAGTCTTTGGAATTTCCTGGACAACCTCAACTCCGCCTCGAAGGCGCTTAATCGGGGCAACTTTGGCTGAAATATATATTATAGTTTACAAATGCCATATAAGACACCATATATAATACCCAACATAGACGGCTCAACACATAAATGAAAAAAAAAACTATAAATGTTTTAACAAAAGCCAAAGTAGTTTCACTTTTATATAGATAACAACTTTATAGATTATACATAACAAAATTACAAAAAAAAACTTTCGTAACAAAAGTAAGTAAGGAGAAGAAGAAAAATGTTTATCAAAGTTACCTGCTAAAAAATTAGCAATCTCCGTTTCAGTGGCTGTCTGTCCCGGTTTGAGGACTATGAACGCCATGGGCAGCTCTCCGGCGTCTTCGTCAGGACGTCCAACTACTGCAGCGTCCGCGACGGCATGGTGCGTTAACAACAAGTCCTCTAGCTCTGCTGGTGCCACCTAGCGGGTATAAAAGATATAGTCACAATTTTAGTAGGTTAAGTATGAGCTTGGTAATTAGAAATGCTTTCGATCTCGATCTCGATCTCGGTCTCAGTATTCTCCTTTTTAACTTAACAATTTCTAATGAATAACCCTTTATAAGATGCAGAATTACCTGGAACCCTTTGTATTTGATGAATTCTTTGATTCTGTCGATAACGTAAATGTTCTGGTCTTCGTCATAGTGGCCAATGTCACCTTAAATATTATTATTATTACAGAACCATAACATGTATAATAACAAGAGGAAGAAAATTGGATATAATACATTTATTATTAAAACGATATAAATACTGATTGTTTGCTGAAAATTAATGTCCATTTAATGAAAAACAAAACGGAACTTTTCTAGAGTTTTTGTCTGATGTCTTTTTCTAAATAGCTCTCTTGTGAGATAACACATCGTTAAATTTATATACACATGAAAAAATGCAGTTCGACTACCCCAACGAGACAACGAAAGCGGTTGCTGCAAATACCGGCGCAGACGGCAAGTCAAGTGCTGAGCTACCTCCCTCAACTCATGCACTCAGATTTCCAAATGAATGTGACACGCGTTCTTACCTGACTTCTCAGGGAGTAAATACCAGTATATTAGGCCTTAGTGCATCGGGCAGATATAACACCCTCCCCACGACCCTACAGAAAGTTGTTGAGATAACTTACCGCTGTGAAACCACCCCTCCTCATCAATGGCGGCATCCGTGGCTTCGGGATTGTTCAGGTAGCCTCTGAAGATTTGACATCCGCGGAAGCAAAGTTCACCATCTTCGTTTGGGCCGAGTTCCCTTCCGGATTGCGGATCTAAAACCTGAGGGAAAAAATCACTTGTCAAACGAAAAGTGTAATTATTAACTTTTTTTGCTATAATTTATTTCACAAAAAGATCAATTAAAAAAGCAACATTTCTGGTCGGTTATCTTTCCATACGTGGACTACGTCACTGACATCAAATCAAGAGCGGCGAAATGCAATTCATTAATTATCTGCACAAACTTTTCTCCAATAAACATGTATTTTGTTCACAGAGGGAGGGTAAGAGTAGTTAAAAGTTTTTTTTGTTCCGTATTCCGTGTTCCTCCTCAGTAAACCACCTTACTAGTAACTTCTTTTTTATGTCAAGCTACGTGCGTGTGTGTGTGTAAGAGAGAGAGAGAAGAGAGAGAGAGAAGAGAGAGAGAGAACTTTCTCTAGCAAGGACGCAATGACAGTGGACGCAAGCATTCACCTTACACTCTGTGCTTGCAACCAAAACGCCGACAGAACCGGACCGAAACGTTCGCACGTCTGGCGGAGGCAAGGAACAGGACGGGCTGGCTTCTGTCGCACCGTATCCTAAATTTATAGATAAGTACATACCTAGTACTTGTGCTTGTTTGCTATACTCTGGTGTACACGTGGTATTATGTTACTGAAGACACTCCGGATCCGTGAGTTAGAGTAAAATTCCAGTAAAATTTCATGCACGCCAGTACTATTTATACGTGTACCTCTAATTTCATGTGGCAAAAAATAGAAAAGCACTCAGAAAGCACATCCTTCAAGCAATGCAGCGCAATTCTCACTATAAGTTGACGAGTGGCAAAATTAATCGATTCTAAGTTAGCCTAAAAATTTATAAAAATTTGTCAATAGCTTCTTAAGTTACACAGTTCACTTACAAAGCAGCAAAGACAAAAAAAAAAAAAAAAAAAAAGCTGTTGGCGGCGGTAAAATAAAATGGGATTTCTAGGCTATTGCTAGTTTGTATGATACCGTACAGAATAGCATCAAATCGATGAAATAACGGTGCGTTTCAACAGTGAACTAACACAAGAACATGTGAGAGTTAAAAAAACAGGAATATTTAATAATTTTGAATAATAAAGTAAAAAAAGGTATAAAACACAATACCTTGTACAACTTTGCATGTCCTCAGACGCGATTCCAGTTTCTTTTCAATATCTTTACCCAATGGCGCAGCCCCTGACATAATTACTTCGACACAGGAGAGGTCGTATTTGTCAACCAATGGGTGTTTAGTTAGCATCACGGCTATGGGAGGAACCACTAGCAGGTAGCGGATCTAGGAAGACATAGTATAACTGAATAGGTTCAGTACGTCTTCTCACTTTACTAAACTCGAAATGGTTGACGTTATTTCCTGGCATTTTGGAATCGCAGCCCAAACGAGTTTGAGCAGCGTTGGTGACGACACACAATTTTGTTGGTAAAAATGAAAATAATTATTTAATAATAAAAAAAATTCTGTTTCCAAACCGAGTTTATAAATCTACCAGAGAGAGAGAGAGAGAGAGAGAGAGGTGAGGCAAACTTACACTGTATTTTTCGATGCAAGCAAGAAATGTTTCAAAATCGAATTTCTGCATGCAAACAACTTTTTGTCGGGTTTTAAAACCACCAAAGAGAATAAGTAACATCCCAAAGACGTGAAAGAAAGGTAAGAATCCAAGAAAACCGTCGACTCCCGGGCGCCCATAGGACAAGAGGTCTCTGAAAACGTATCATGTTACATAAATATGTGTAGCGGTAACAAATACCTTTGGAATATACAATTTTTGTAAGTATCAAAGACAGCGGGTACTCGCAAATTTCTTTACAATAATAGGAAAGAAAAGAAAAATACAAAAGTCCTTAGAACCATTTGAAAATTCATGGATGGCTGAAAAAAATAGAATGCCAGCGAGAGAGCAGGCAAGCAAAGAAAGCTAGAAAGTGGATGAGAGAGACATACACCCTGACAATTGTAACATAACATTAAACTAGAAAACAATTATTGATAATATAATCACTTTTAATTGCCCCTTACTTCATTTGTACAAGATTCCCCACTATGTTGCGATGGGTGAGCATGACGCCTTTGGGAAGGCCTGTCGTGCCACTGGAAAAGGGTATAATAGCGACCTCATGCGGCGAGATCTTTACGTCACTGGGGAAGTCATGGCCGTCGTCTCGAAGCAAGATATCAACTGACGTACATCCGGGGGCGTGTCCGAATACGTAAACATTCTTAAAGAAAATAATATAATTGTCTAGAAAAAATTAGTTACAAACGCAAACTGCTTTGAATAGAACGCAAATTTAGATCTCTGCTGACAATTTGGTCTTGTATGTACCCAATACTGATTACCAATTTAAGTTAAAAGACTTTAAGCATCCTTTTAAGTTAACTCCCCTTTTCATTTTAGACAATTATTTTTTTTTACCTTATATTAATCTAAATTTTAATAAAACATCGCCCTAATCCTTTATAGAAAAGTCAAAATTTCACAAAAAATTAACACTTAGCAGAGAACTTTACGTACCTTAATTCCATTTTCTGAGGCAGCTTGCAGGGCTTTCTCTGCGGTTTCTGGTGCAGCCATTAAGTACTGTGGTCTGACAATCTGGAGTTGCTTACTTAGTTCATCTTACCATGAAAAATTAAAAATGACATCCATAATTTAGAGATACTTGGGCCTCCAAATTTTTGCGACTTAATGAAAAGAACAGAAAATCTGAAAAAAATCCAAGACCAAAATCGCAACAACCTCTTCCAGTCGTAGTCCTACGTTTTTAACACAGATGTAAAAAATTTAATCATTTTAAATTCCCCAATTACACGGAATTTATGGTAGGACTTAATAGTTGAATGACATATATATATATATATATATATATATATATATATATATATATATATATATATAACAAAAAGTGGCGTTTATTGTTAAATATGCACACGTCTCACCCTTGGTATATGTAGGGTTGCTAGTGGTGATGACCCCTCCGACTGAGAGAACCCCCAACACGATTAAAGCGTACTCGGGGGAGTTCGAACTGTACATGCACACGATGCCCCCCTTCTTGAACCCCAACCGAGTGAGCGAGCTGCCGATTCTGCGCACTTTGTCCTTGACGTCAGCAAACGTGAATCTCGTATCGGTCTTGGCGTCAACCTTCATGTAGAAAATGAGGGTGTTATGAGGCAAAATAAAAATACGATGTTTTTCATTTGTAGAGAATAGCATTTGACTGCAAAATGAAGGAGATGCCAAACCTTTTTCATCATTCCTGAAAAAAATATTGGGATCGATCCACTTATATCACATTTTGAGTACAAAGTGATTATGGCGCGGAATTAAATTAAATGTTGTGCACTCTCGCTTAAAATGTGGAGTTTTCCTGATGTGGAGTATTCCTGGAGTATACTGATATGGAAATAGGGTCAACATAAAAAATGCACCACTAGTTATACTCAAACGGCTCAGCGTGTCGATACAAAGGTGGCATTTGTCTCCCCCCCCCCCCCCCCCTTCCTTTGCTGGAGAGAATATTCATTTACTGCGATGCGATGTGTATGTGTTCACGACAGGAACATTAAAAACCCTTAACCTCACATTCTGCTAAGATTTGTCGTTGGGCAGAATTTCCACTGACGACATACATACTACTAGTACATGTAGCTAAAGATATATAAAAATCTAAGCCATTGCGACAGGTACTGTAACAATATGATCTAAATAAGTGAAGTTTTTTTATAATCTGACTTAAACCATGTAAACAAAATTGTGTACTTCATATTATTAAATAATGCAGCACATTTAGGGTAGCTGTTCCTTCTGCTATTACCTAAATTGCCAAGCTAATGGATTATTTGTGTGAGAGAGAAGGATGGGGCGAAAGAGAGAGAGAGAGAGAGAGAGATTACCAGGGCCACGCAGTCTGCATACAGATCTATATCATCCAGTAAATATGTCGCCACATCCACCTCGGGTACCGTGATTTCAGGCAGCCTGCTACGAATTCCCATCATCTTTTTTCCAGCTCACAATAATAATAAAAAACAGCTTACAAGACGTCTCCACAATAAATCCTTCACAATGATACTTGATCAGTATCCGGACTCACATGTTAATATGTTCGTCGTCTGTATTCGTGACTTCTATTCTTCAAACCACCCAACTTTATACACGATTCGGTGTCATATTCTTGGTGACCCTATTCCTATTTTTAAAGAAACATTAACTTAATACTGGAAAACAACCATGAACAAGGGCTGACATACCCTAGTGACAGATTTACCCCACTGCTTTACTTTGTTCTTTTTGATGTAGTGAAAAATGTCTTGGGTCCAACAGAAAAAACATCAGCTTTGTTTTTTAACGTTACAATATATCATTTTTTTTTCTTTATAAACAGCTTTATTTAGCTTAACTCAGTGAAATAACATGCGCCACTCCATTATGTCAGTGTCCTTACATCACCTGTAGGAGACAAAGCTGTGGGCCCCGTATCTCGAAAGCATCGCGTACTGCGAATAGCGATATCACATAGAGGCTACAATGTATTATATGGGGCGAGTATGGGTGAGTTATGGAATCGAGACGCTTGCGCACGGTCGCAATGCACGATGCTTTCGAGATTCGGGCCCCTGATGACTCTTGCTCTCGGCTGACTTGTTGGCCTCGCATCACCCCATACTAAGTCGCTTACGGGTCATTCCGCAAAACATCAAACAAACAAACAAAATATATTGTGAGCATTCGAGTCATGTCAGTGACACACACATATTTGTGCAATATTTGCACAAACCAGGCTTGACCTTTTGTTTGCGCTATTTCATACTAAATTACCCTCTTATTAGGAGGCACTGGTGGATTTAGGAGAGGGGGTTAGGGGGTCCTAACCCCCCCCCCCCTTCGTTTCCGAAAAATATAGTACGTCAATATACCCCTCTTAAAATTAGAATTTTGACTAGCTAAATCATAGTTCTAAACCGTACCAAAGGGCACTGTTTGCTCTCAAAACACCACAATTTTTCGGGGCCCTTGAGCAGACCCCGAACCCCACACCAAGGGGGGCGATGGTCAGCTTTGCATCCGAGGCC